GATAACAGAATTTATATGAATTCTATCTTGCCAGTACCGTCGACGATTTGATGATGATGACGACGATGATGAAGATTACAACTTGTAAACACAGTACATCACTGGAAGTACACGGCCGAATATCAATCGTCTTTGAGAATGATATATTACATGCAACCATATCTTTTCAACGAAACATAATATCTGATATCTTAAAATACATAAATTTAAATATTTAGGAATAAAAATAATTCCAACAGTCGCCTTCCGTTGCTTTTAGCCTTTTTTTTTTCTCATTTATCTCTCGCCAATGATTCTCTTCCGACGTCTCCATGCATCCCTTCTCAATGATTTTCTAAAATCCCAACAAGTCCAAACAAAAGCTAACACCAATCGGCACGGTCAAGTTATCCGTTCCCCATGGACTAATCGTCTCCAAGATTGCCGAAGCGATAGCACCAATACCTGCCCCAGCGATGATATTCCATATATCCAGACCAGGAGGGGACATGATACGCCAAGCAAGGATTATAGAGACAAAAGTGAAGAAAAAGTTTGCTTGAACGCCTTCAATGGTGCGGTTGGAGATTGAAGACAATTTACGATGACCGTATGTACGCCCAATGATAGCAGCAAAGGCATCGCCGTATGTCATGGCCATTAGCCCAGCTGAGAAAAGAGAAAGCTCACCTAAGTAGCTATAACGTAAAAAGAGTGAAATGAGGGAATTTTGAAAATTTCACCTATCGCGATGTAAGCCCTTCCTCGAGGAAATCCATCTTCCCACCCATCACTAAACCAATAAATCAGAAATGCGCACGAGAATGCGAAGTAAATAGTTCCCCCAGTTGCACCTTGTTGAGGATCTATAGTGCATACCGAATTTATCATTAGACCACACGTAACTTGCCCATCAATCGATCTTTGTTTTCCTCTTATTTATACCTTTTATCTTTACTTACCTATAGCCTTGAACAGTCGAATTTTCAAAAGAATTGCGTTTATCAGGACAAAGGATGCAAACAAAAGGCTCACATACTCCCATTGATCAAACAAATATAATGTCGCCAACACATATGTCCCTGCTCCAACGTGCACAATCTTTCGAGAGATTTCGACTGGAATGCCAGACATTCGCTTATAGATTTCAACCGATAAAAAGAGTATTGAAGCATAGGTGTATGAGATCGATAGCGCAAATATGGTTTGCTCTGTTGGTGGTGGGATTGCCGTGTGAGATGACATTGTTTGCGATATGCGGGAAATTTGAGAGAACTAAACTTGAGAGGGAATAAATGGTGATCCGCTGCGGATCGATGACTATATATAGTGTAGCAGCAGATCAACAAAGTTATTTTACGTATGACAGAAAGCCCACGCTTAAAATCTAATACGCGTATATCCCAAGCACAAATTCGCGGTCGAAAGCGTACTTATATTCTACACATCGTGAAAGTAAAGTAATTCGGAAGTTAGCTAACAAGCATTTTTGACACATTGTTTTAGAAAGACTTCCTATTATTATAGAGCGATAATATGACTGTTTTCGAACATGATGTTTATGTAAACTATCCAATATGAAAGAAAAAGGAAGGTTTAATATTGTGCGAGGATAGCTTCCGATCCTTGAATTTATTGTAATATCTATCAAAGAGCCGATCTCGATTATATTCTAATAATCCTTTATCAGCCCGGCATTGTTGTAGCTCCTGTTCTAAGCGATGAATAAATACCTTATAAATAATTTCAAGAACACGTTTGAGTTTTGACTGTTCATCCCATATCAGACTTGCATTAAACCACAAACGCCCTCGCAAATTATATCTTTGTTGGCTATTATTAAGATCTTGAGCAAGTTGATTGACACGATTCTGCAAGGTATCTCGTTCTGGTATAAGTTGGTTGACACGATTCTGCGAGGTATCTCGTTCTGGTATAAGTTGGTTGACATAGTTTTGAAGGTATCTCACTCCTGAATAAGTTGATTGGTTTGATTCTGAGATTTTGAGGGTCTTTATTAGGCACTCGGTTTGATTCTGAATATTGGCGTTTTGTTGTCTATAGAAATTGACATCCTGTTGTAGCTGGACTATCCGATTATCTCTGTCATCTCGTTGAGCAATAACACAATCTGTATCCTGGTATGCAGACTGATAATTATGCCGAACAGAACCTCTAATGCCTTCTATAATATTAGTAGGATTATTTAATGGTGTACCACCTCTAAGATGATTTTCGAGCCGACCTAACCCTCTTCTAATATTTATAAAGGGATCTATATGTGCTATATCTGTATCTTCCTCTTCTGAATTATATAAACTTGGAGAGCTTCTTCGAGAAGAAATAACTTTGAATCCATGTCTTAGATTTTGAACCCGCTCTTCTGATTCTTGTAATTGTTTCTCTATGTTATCGATATAGGATATCTTATCTCGGATATCCTTTTTAGCTTGATATAAGCTTCTTTTAAGGGATGATATCTCCGATCTCAACTCTGCTTTTTCTTCCTCCGAAGCATTCTCGAGCCGTTCCAGTTCTTTATTGAGGGATTGTTAGTATTTCTTTCTCACATCTGGTATATTTACGTTCCAGATTCTTTATATATTTTTCATTTGACCTATTGATTGAAACTTCGTTAGATAACTCATCTCTCAAAGCTTGATTTACCTGCTCCAATTCCGATTCCCGATCAGAGCTTGGCCCACGAGATATTCGATTGGGATGTGGTCGATGAAATGCCATGGTTATTTTTTACGGTATAATATGTCTTTCATAGAAAGGAGACTTTGTATCTTAACTTATCTCCTGACTCTACTAAACATAATTTTTACTATATGAGTAATATCGAAAATGAGTAAATTGAGTAAGCCTATTATTAGAATCGATCTAGATGAGGAATTAAACTTAATATGTAAATTGCTTTTTTACCAACCTACTGGTTATCATTCCAACCCTCGAAAGCTGTATAATGCTATCAAAGATAAAGGACATAATTTCTCATATAAAAAAGTTCGTGAATGGTTGCATAACCAGAATGAATGGCAAAAGTATGCTCCGTCACCGAAAAATATTTCACGAGTTAGTTATGGTAAATTTCACGTCCAAATTGTGTACATCAAGCTGATATACTCTTTCTTACTCATGATCATTACAAAAGTAAAAAATGGATAGCAGTACTTAACATAATAGATGTGGCTAGCAGGTTCAAAGCGAGTGTTCCTCTCATGTCGAAAAAAAGTTCAGAGGTTGCCAAAGCATTCAGAAAAATTTACGATGATTCCAGAAATCCTCTTACTTATCCTCGATTGCTACAAACAGATAATGGCAAGGAGTGGATGGGTGAAACAACTCGATTAATGGAAGCACATGATGATACAATCCGAGTTATTGGTCGCTTCAATAAAACTCTAGCAGAAATATTATATAAAGTCCAATATGCTGTCAAAAATATATTTGAAGACCCTAAATTAATGAGAGCATGGATGAAGTATTTGCCAGAAGTCATCGATTACCTAAATAATTATCTGACGCGTCTCATTCGAGCTCCAGGTTCATCAAAATGGGGTTTAGCTCCAGCAAAAGCTATCAAACTGGAACGAGTAGAATCTAGGCCATCTACAAAGTATAAGCGTCCTGTTGGGAAATATGAGGAGAATAGGTTGAAAAAAGGTGATATCTGCTTGCAAATGCAGAATGGGAAGGATCACCAGATTTAGAGCAAAAACGAGCCACAGATCCGATATGGAGTCCAAGCCTTCATAAAATCAAAAAAATCGTAGTAACGAAAAATAAACCAGTTTTATATTATCTCGGAGATGATGATAATGAATATGCTCCAAAGCGTGGATTTGTGAGAGAGGAACTCTTATACGTCAATATTGGTATGCTTCAGTATCCGCCCCAGAGTATATTGGAAGAAAACACTCGCTCCAGATCTGTTAATTTCGTTCGTATTATTAATAAAATGGCTAAAGCACAACAATATGCCAGAAAGCGTACTGGGAAGTGTCTTGGTAAAACTGGTCATATAAATGGGTTCGATGTATATCTTTGGTCTTGTGAGAATGAATCACATCAGTTCGAGTATCCGTTAGAAATTTTAGAGCGGAAATTTGAGTGGTGCCCACTTTATTCACATACCCGTGAAAGAAGTTGTCGATATATTTTTGAGGATCTACTGGATAAAAAATTTCCACCATGCAGGGCTAAGTTTTTAGATGGGATGCAATTAGACGGGTATAACGAAGAGCTAAAATTGGCATTCGAATTCCAAAGAATACAACACACCATCGCAATAGTTTATATCACAAAAATCAAGGCGACTTAGATTCACAAAGGGCACGCGATCAAAAAAAGCGGGAAATATGTAAAAGAGAAGGCATAGATCTCATTGAAATTCCGTACGATTCAGATATTGAAGCATGTATTCGATATGCATTGGAGAAGAAGGGGTACAAATGCAATTATAACCTTACAAAATAAAAATCCTGCTCTTGATATTGTCGGATACAGATACCTAATTTGCTACTGCCTTTGTTAATTCATTGGAGTAAGAATCGTAAGATATATATTTTTGATATAGATACTTTATATCTGCAAAGCAATAATTAGCTTAATCGGGATGAAAGAAGAAAAATGCCCATATTTGTCTACAATATAGATGAGACATCGAACAAATCCTCAGAACGAATGAAAGGCAATAAGTATTCACCAGAGGGCCCATTTAGGTTATTAGTTTCTGGAGGATCTCATAGCGGAAAAACCAATATGGTAATTAATCTTATACTTGGTAATAAATTAACAGCGAATGCGTCATTTACATCACTATGTATAATATAGTTATTGATATCACACGCTCCCATACAGCCATATATGTCACGTACAGAGTCGAGTCCATGCAATAGATCTATCGCATATTATTCACTTGGCAAGAAAGGAAATCGTTATATCAAAAACGATGATCTCGTATTAATAGGCAAGCATTTTGAGCCGAAATGGCAACTTGTACAAAATAGCTTTCAGATGCGCCTAAACCATATCGAGAAGATGTCACATTTACAGTCGATGCTGACACCTCGGGACTGAGAGTTTGGAACCGTGCATTTAGAGAACAATGCAAAATTTTGCACTTACAGAGTGGTAACAGACATTCACGTGATACTATTATTCATGTAATTTATTTAAGTATTGATCAATACTTGACTGTCGCATTGTATTAGCCTTCTTTTCTCCAATATACTTCTCTAAAATATTTGCATATCTCAAATACTCATTTGAATTAAGAATGTTTGCAGAGCTTTTGATGCCGCACTTGCACTGATAATTGCTACTTCGGTACTATCATCTGCATCTTCTACATGGGGCATGCTGCAACAAAACCAGACAAAGTGAACATTCTTAAATAAAGGCTGGTGTGGCTGAAAGTTAACTAAAGACATTTTGAAAAGTAAACTCATTCATAACTTAATTTTAATGTTCCCTTTATCATACCAGAAGGTGAGGAATATAAACCATAACGTGATGAATATAGGACTACCTCTGTATATATAAAAATAAAGTATATGAAACTCATTTACATTAAATCCACCATGGAACCCAAGAATTACAGCACTATTAGAAGCATTCTCAAAAAAGCTCAAGGTGAAAAATTGCCCCTTATGTTTTTAAAATCAATGATACCCAAACTCTCCAGGAATATCTAGATCAAGAAAAAATCACTTATGAAATTTATCAAGAAGAACGAAAAACAATAAACAATAAATGAACCTTAACCTCAATTTATGATGAACCAAGAAAGAAAAGAAGACTGGCAGAATAAACAATCAAATTATTATTAATCATCATCCTCATCCTCTTCTTCTTCTTCTAGTTCAGCAGGGGAGTTTCATCATTGAGCCAGGAGTTTTCTTTTCCAGATGGCTCAACCAAGACTACTTAGTAATAAAAGAATTGCTCCTCCAGCTGCTCAAGCAGAAGGATTATTAATTCTTCAGAAACCTTCTTGTTGCTGATCTTTAAAGGGCTTTTCATACTTCTTCATGGAGTGATTTTGACCTCCTAACTTTTCCATATAGTATTTAATGATTCCTTCTTCAGTAAATTCTTTCCCATCACCATAAATAGTGCGATCTAACAAGATTAACTATCTTTATAATTTTCCATCTCTTTGTGGATTTGTTCTTTTAAAGAACTATCCGCTTTTATTTCATGTAAAGCAATGGTTCCAATTACTACCCCAGGATCCCGAGTAAAGAATCAATCTAATCAAGCTCGATCTTTATCCTTTTGATCTGGAAGATCATAAGTATCATCCATTAATTCTGGCTTTTTAGCAAGAGTTTCTTTACAGTATTTAATTATTTCACTTGGTTTAACTTTAGCTCCTGAAGCATTAACTCTGTCTGCCAAATTTCTAATTTCACTAGCATCAGCTTTGAAATTAATGTTTTGAGAATAATTGATTCACTTTTGAACTAGATCACTAAACACATTAGTTTTCACTCCTAAAGCTGCTTTGAGTTCCATTGGAAGAATTCTCCTTTCAGGAGCTGGAACTTCACCATTCTCAATATAGTGAGTGAGTTGATCTAATTCATTTTGTTCCACAGGATCTAATCCTCGTCCCACTGACTCCAAAGAATCTTTTATACTTTGCAAATAATTTCTGACTACTTCATCATTAAAGTATTTACCATCATCATTTTTTCAATTATTTAACCGTTCAATAAAGTGAGTGCCATGTCCTACTCAGTGATTATATTTAGCTAGTTTACCTTGATTAGCAGTTTCCTCTGCATCTAATTTGGCTAATTCAGCATTAGGATCAAAAGTAGCATCAGGTTTTAAAACTTCTCACTTTTTAATCCACCCTAAAATATTCTGCATAAATAATAACTCTCGATAAGATCTTTTGCCTGGTCTATCATGAATAGTTTTAAATTGAGTGATTAAACCACTTACCCGGAGTTTTTTAGCATCTTCTTTTGCTTTCTCTGCTACTTCTTTTTC